TTATTTTTGTACCTAAGTAAAATATGCAATCCAACAGATCCTAATAAAATCACAGAGCATGACAAATGATAAGAAGATATGCTGAAACGTCCTTGATGTGCTACTCTGATATTATTTCTTGTTGGTGTAATGAGAATTGTTATTGGAGAATACGTTTCCAGATGACGGCAAAGTGTATTGACGACTATCACCTTTTTCCATGTGCTCTCGATGTACCAAATAGCGATTTCGATGCGAACTCTGTTGGATTCGTCGACATTCAGGAGTTACGAGATATTGTTGAACAGGTGAGAATGCATTCTGTTCATGCACAAAAAAGCGTTCAGCTGAAGCCTTTTTCACTGGAGAGAAAGAATTCCAACTTAAGCGGACACTTCCTTAAGCAGTCTGCTGTGGGTTGTCACTATAATTTTTCCCCCCTTCTTCCAGATGGTATTGAAAAGAACGGAAATAGAAATAATTGATGAAGAAGACGTGAAGGAACTCCTAGCCGGACAGGAGAGCGACGAGTTCCCTAAAGTTAGTCTTAAGTTCTCAATTGGCTGGTTAAACGGCAAACCAAATAAAAATTCCATAATAATCTTGGTTCGAAAACAAACCTTGCTGTATATGATCGCTTCTTTAGCATTTTTCATGAGACCGCCATTAGATCAAATTTATAATAGCACTATTGGTGATGGAATATGTAGTGGGTTTCCTAAAGGCTTTTTTCCTTAAAAATTCATTTAGTTTTCCAGTTTTCCAGTTTTCCAGAGAAAAATGTTTCACGAGTGGCCGGCACCTACTTCAAAGTACCTTGAAGGCAGTGTCCAAACAAATTTTCGACTTCGGGTTTTCCACTTTTCTCTCTTTGTGCTGAATACAATTGTCAACTTCAGAAGTCGTGAAATGCTCCAAAAACCAGATTTCTTCCATTTTGGCAGAGATCAGCTTTTATTGTAAGAATATGAAATAATGTGGAATGATTTCGCAGAAGAGCACTGTTTTTGGAAGAAATCGACCGTAGGCGGTGCTAAGGGGAAACTCTGAGCGGCCGGGCTGACCTAGACGTCCAAAGCTATATTTCGTACATCACAGCGAATTATTCACCTGAGTTTGGTGGAATAGTTTAGTCAGAGAGTCGACGTCATAATCTGAAAGGAATTTATCCCTGGTAATATGGGCGCTGCTTTTGAGGTGCCGACATGCGCTTTCATGCTTAAGCCCTTTATTGTAAGAATATGAAAATATCCGGAATAATGCGTTTATGAGTCAGCAAAAACTGCTTTAAAAGTTTTCAAAATGGTAAATTTAAATTTTTTCAAAAGTATGACT